AAATAGGGTAATTTTTAGATTAAATGGAGCTGATCCCCTATTTGTTTTTACATATTAAAGTGGAGTCAGTATGGCAAGTTTACAGCCTTGCAGAGATTTCATACATTTACAAATGGGGAAGAAAACTGGGGCACAGAAGCTAAGATCTCCTGGATGGTGATCGTGTCTGAGCCAGGACAGAAAACCCAGTCTGTTAATAACCCATAACAGGTGCCTGTCTGGAATTGGATGTGAATTCTCTGATCCAGCAGTCTCTGATTGATCTCTACTTTAAGAGAGAGCAAGCCAGGGAGGGGCAGAGAGAGGGAAAAAGAATTCCAAGCAGGCTCTGCACTGGCAGCAAAGAGCCTGACGTGGGGCTCGAACTCACAGAGATAGGACCTGAGCTGAAATCAAGAGTCGGCCACTTAACTGACTGAGCTACTGATGGCTCCCCAGTTTTGTGTTTTTTGTTTTGAAACATTTTATGTTGCCACCATAAATCTCTTTTTCAAACCACAGGAAAGTTGAAAGACTGGTGTGGTAAAATTCCTACATATCTTTCACCTGGAATTCACTATAAATATCTTCCCGCATTTTCTTTACCCCTCTTCAATACCCCCAGTGGATTACAAGCGTCTTGACCCATCCTCGCATGTTCTCTCAAGAGCAAGGACTTTCTCGTTTTCTAACCTTCGCCAGTCATATGTGCATCTGGAAAGAAACCTCTGGGTTTCTTTCAGAAACACTTTGGGTTGCCTCCTGGTGAACAGGATCGCTAGGACTACCCGGACTGTTAAACTTTGGGAAAGAGTTGGGTTCTTTGCCACGTGTATTTGCTGCTGCCGACTCTGGCAGGCAGGCAGGCAGGCAGACCTGGATTCCAGGTGAGGAAATCTTGGTCTTTCCAAGGTAGCACAGCTGAGGACATACCCACTTCCTCACTGTGGCGCAGTGATCACCTTCCTGTCTTGAGTTCCGCCTGGGGACGTCACACATACAAAGGCAGGTGACTCCAACCCAGACCTCAGCGTCCAGTGGCCTAGTTTGCATTTCAGCTTGGATTTCTGATTGATGACCTCAGACCTAATGTGTTCAAACTTCTGACTTGGTTCACCGTTTGCCGCCATCACCGTGTAGGGCAGCTCTATCCTCCCAATTGCTCAGGACGAAAATGTCATTTATTATTTTATACCGCCCTGTCAGTTACTGTCTATTCTATCCAGAATCCTGTCTGTTCCCATCAGAGTGGCCTTTTTTTTTTTAATTTTTATAGAAGTTTGTTTATTTTGAGGGAGAGAGAATCCTAGGCAGGCTCCCCACCGTCCGTGCAGAACCCGGTGTGGGGCTAGAACTCACAAACCATGAGATCATGACCCAAGCCTGAATCAAGAGTCGGACGCACTCAGGTGCCCCAGAGTGGCCTTTTAAGACCTTACTCGATCCCCTCAGCAGCCGCTTGTAGACGTCCACTCTTCGTGATCTAGTCTGCTGGCCTCCTTGCTCGTACAGCCGAACTGCTCACAGCGTGTCTGCTGTGAACAGCATCACCTGGCCGCCTGATCAGAGTTCCAGATTCTGTTCCAGGTCTACTGGGGCAGCACCATTAATCTGTTTTCACAAGCTCTCCAGTTGATTCTTAGACACACTTAAGATTGAGAAACATGTACGTATAAACCTTTTAAGTTCTGCCTTTGGACCTTTGGACTTGCCGTACTTTCACCAGAATCGCTCTTCACCCCCTTTTTTTCCAGGTGTTTATCTTTTTTGTTTTTTATTGGAATCTATTGGGTGTCTGGATGGCACAGTTGGTTAAGCATCCAGTTGTTGATTTCAACTCAGGTCATGATCTCATGGTTCGGGAGTTTGAGCTGGCAGCTCAGAGCCCATTTGGTCTTCTCTCGCTCCCTCTCTCTGCCTTTCCACTGCTCGCACGTGCCCTCTCAAAAATAAATAAGCGTTAAAAAAATAAAATACATGTGACAGAATGTGTAAATTCAAGGTGTATGAGCTATTAGTTTGATAGCTTTATATATAATATGATTGCCATTGTAGCAATAACGAGCACCTCTGTGTGGTGCGTAGCTATCCTTTTTAGTAATTGGAGTAACTAAGTTCTAGTCTCTTAGCAAGTTTGGTGATTATGATACAGTATTGTGTAGAGATCACTGTGCTGTACCTTGTATCTCCAGGGGGTTACTGTTTGTAACTTTGTACCCTTAACATCTATCCTGTCTCCTATCCCTTGGTGACCACCATTTTATTCTGATTTTACAATTCCACGTGTTCGTGAGCCAGACAGTACGGGTCTCTGACTTCTCTCACCGTAATGTGTTCAAGTTTTCAAGTGTCTGTTTGAATGGAGTCTTACCAGTAGGGCCTTGTTTGACCACCCTATGACTTAGCCTGTTTGCCAGCATTCCTTCGCCTCCCCACGTTGCCCGGTTTTTCTCTATGTCAGAGTCTGATACACATTCACTTAATTTGTTTTCTCTCTCCCCATACTAAAATACAAGCTCTCTGAGGGCAGAGATTCTCTTTTCAGTCATTGTGCTGTGTTTGCAAACCTGGTTCAGTGCCCTTTACCCCTTTCCCTCACCTTCCTTCATAAAACTAAAATTTATCGTAACCTGGAGGTCTTTAACAATTAGATCTGTTGAAACAAGGTCTGTACTATGATTTTGTGGGTTGAAGCGTGAATAGGGGCTACGTTTCCAACTTTATGATTCTGAGGTTATAATAGAAACAAAAATACATATGGTTAGCTTGTGAAACTAGTAACTATTTAAAGCTTAGAAATGTTTCTGTTTTTCTGCAGGTGGTTATCACCAGACTAAAACTGGACAAAGACCGCAAAAAGATCCTTGAACGCAAAGCCAAGTCTCGCCAAGTAGGAAAGGAAAAGGGCAAATATAAGGAAGAAACAATTGAGAAGATGCAGGAATAAAGTCATCTTATATTCAACTTTAAATAAAAACTGTTAAAATGATAAAATGATGAGCCTTTAATTTCTGTGTGGTGCCTGGAGATACTACCTACTTCACAGGGGACCCGTTTTCAGGGAAGTTAGGTGGCATTTGCCATCTGGAGGCAGGCCGCCCCTATCTTGTGGCTTGATTTACTATTTGGGTTTTTTCATGTGAGCATCAGTTCTTTTAACAACTGGGATTTAACAATATTCTGAAACCAGGACTGCTAAGGTAGTGATTTTTTTCTTTTCTTTTCTTTCCTGGAGTTGGCTCCATGCCCAGCATGTGGCTGGAACTCACAGCCCTGAGATAGTCACTCTGCATGGACTGAGCCAGCCCGGGGCCCCTCTTCATTTTTACAGCAGGCAGTATTTGGGGGACATCATGGCTCATTGAGAAGAAGGCCTAGATAGGAAGCTATGTGGGATCCTGCCTCTTGAACCTGTCTCCTGTTATGCTATGCGCACGTCTATGTTGTAGTAGCCTATTTTTAAATTTTTTTTCCTCAAAGTTAGATTGCCATTGGATTGAAAGTCTTGTCAGGAGGACAGGAGCTGCTAGGCTTTCCCAGCAGCGTCCAGTCCCCTGCCCCAGGCTGTTCCCCTACAGTGAGAAGCTGCAGGATCCCTGGCCTGCCCGCGGGCCCCCTTTACCAACCTGTTTTAATGCACTGGTGCCGCACGGAAGGGGGCCATTATATCCGAGTTTAACGAAACAAATCTTCGGGCTGCAGTTAGAAGTAAGCGCTGTCCATCTGAATGAAACGCAGGTTCTCGCGACCACGTTAGCAGGTGGAGGCACTGCAGACACGGACGCCTCTGCCCTCATTTTAGATTAAGCTGCCGGACTCAGAATGCTGACTGCAAGTTGACTTCGCGAGTTGCAGGCTTTGCAACATCGTGGGAAAATAACCGGTTTTGCCGCGGGGGACCGGGCTCCGTGGCTTGTTCTGCCAAGGTCACGCGCATGCCGGCCTCGCGTATCTCTAGTCCCCGCCACCTCCCAACGACAGGCGGGGCAGGACCCTCACGATCCCCCTTCCCGAGCGTGGAAAGGGTGCCGGCTGGCCCGCGGCGTCAAGGGCGGGGCTTCCGGCCGGCGCGGAGCAGCTTCCGGGGCGAGCAGCTTGAGGGACCGACTGGGCACGCGCGGGCGGGAGGCGAGACCGCGGCTGGACGCGGGGTGGGCGGTCCCCGACGCCGCGGCCCCAGGCATATACCCCTCACCGCCCGGGCGTCCCGTCCTCCCCTCTGGCCTCGCGGGGTTGGCGGGGCGGGTCCGCGGCCGGGCCCGGGAGGGGCGGAGCCCGCGGGAGTGCGGGGAGGAAGGCCGCGCAGGGGTAGGTGGTGCCCGAACCAGGTCCCAGGAGGAGGTGGAGTGTCCGTGTTGGAAGGTGCGGGGACACTGGGCTTAGCGCTTTATCCGGCGTTACCGCCGAGTCTTCATCCGGAAACTGGCACCTCCGCTGTGACGGTGGAGGACACTGAAACCTCAGTAACTGCCGGAGGCAGACACACAGCGAGTGGTAGAGTCCTAAATTGAATTCCCACGCCGCCACCCTTGGCCCTCCCTCTGCAGGGCCTCGCCGCTGCACCCGGACGGGAAGTGTTTGCAAACGTCCTTTGAGTATCTTTTGTCTCGGCTTTGTATTCCTTGGCCCTCCGAGCGAAAACAGCTAGGTGGATGGCCCAGCTCCTACCTGCTAGGTTGCGTATACCTGAACCAGTGGCTACAAATACAAAGCGAAGGGCTCCGCTGAGTGCCCCGCCCCCAGGGAGGGGGCGTGGCCATCAGCTGGAGTTGCAGAAAGCATCGGGAAGCAGGCCGATTTGAGCTGGGGGTGACCCGGAAGATAAGTGAAAGGACGTTCCAGATCTGGGGCGCCAAAGCAAAGACTCACAGGTGGGTGAGGAAGGGAGGTGTTTCCAGTTTTCTCTAACCAAAGGTCATTTATCAGTTTCCCCCCAACAGGCACAGATCGCACCGGGAAGCTGAACACAATCCTTTCATGCTGCCGTGGAACAGGTGTTGAAAACCCAGATAGCCGCAGGGATGGGCAGGTAAGCTGAACAAGGTAGCAGGTGGTTTAGGGACCCTGAGAAACAGGAGCGTGCCGACTGTTTAACGGGAGCTGCTGTCTCCACTCCAGCCAGTTGTTGCCAAGCAGCAAAGTTCCCAGCGTATCCAGATCTTCCCATTTCCCAAGCACATCAGTCAAGATGCTTCTGTGAAATCCCCCAATCTCTAAGTATAGGTAAATCGTTCTAATTTAAAAAAAAAAAAAAAGTACACTGGGTAGACTAACCAAAGTAGGTCTGTTAGCCAAATGTGGTTTTTGGGCTGTGCCTCAGAATTTCCTGCTATAATGTAAGGACCGTATCTCATATTAAAGACTGAGATTTTGCATCTTTTGATTATAAATTGTTTCCAGCCTGTCTTCTTTCTTTTACAAGCTGGAAATGAGGCCCTTCCTTCCTTTGCAGTCCCCTGAAGGGCCTCCTACAGCTGCCAGTGCAGCCAGTCAATTTCGGAGAGACGCTGGTTTCAGTGAGGACTCTGGAAGGCACTCTACTGGATCCCGTTGAATATCTTGCGGTTTTCAGGTCTGTTCTAAGGACCACTAAGGCCGTGAGATGACAACAGATCCTCCTTCAGAAACAAAGCGCCATGTCCGGGATTAAATGAGACTGGTAGATGAAGCACACTTTGTTTTACTGCAGAACTTCTCAGAGCCTTTAGAACATCATCGTACACTGAGGATCTTGAGTTCAGACTCAAACAGCACTTGCAAACGTTCTGTTTCTTCACTACTAAAATGTGTGTCTTCCACATGTTTTAATTTGGATGTGTTCATTTAATAAAGGTTCTCTGTTTTTCCGCTCAAAAGAAGGCCATGAGTAAGGCAGTGGTTTTGTCGTCAGTAATGTCTTAGAATCGGGAATGTTCCACGGTCAACCAGTGATGCTGAGCGAGGGAGTTTGAAGCCTTTTTAGTGGAGAACCTTCAGGACCTCGGCTCAGCTAAGACCCTTGCTCAGAGCTCTGAACCCTTTTCATCTTTCTTTGCTTTTCAGGATTCTGCCCTATCCCTCAGCTCTGCATTTGATGGCTGGGATCCTGGGGATCTTGTTTTCCTCTGACTGTTGGGATTCCTGTTACCATCATATGAATTCTTCCCCCGGCCACATCACCATCCCACCATCTGGAGTTGTGCTAAGGAATCTGGGTTTAGACACCTGAGTATCAAGTTCTGTCCCTGAGGAATTCTCCGACCTTGGTGGACTGCGGACTCGGTTTGGGGTAGCTCTTTTTGGCATGATACTCTCCTGACAAATCTGTACATAACGTATAATATTTCCATTTCTGGAAACACCCTGCTGCCTCAATTCAGAGCCATCAAGCCTGTACCCGAAAGTGTCTCCCAGCCTTGGGAGCACCCAGGTTCATTTCGACTCACTGTTTTTTGGTTTTTTTTTTTTCTGGAAATATGTGGCTCTCAGCTCAGGCAATGTCAAAACAGCCCAGGCCTACAGACCTCCCAGGAGGACAGAACTTTTTTTTCTTACCCACGAAGCGGGACTCACGTGGTTGGATAGGAGACCTTGTCTTTATTTCCGGGATCTTCCATATAATATTCACATGACTCACATGCCAAGTCATTTATGCTGGCGTGGCTTCATTCCAGATACCCTCCACTCTCCCTTCCCCAGTCCCGATGTGGCTGCCAGGAATGGTCCCTGTGGCTGCAGCTGGCGTTGTCTCAAGAGGTAGCGACCTTTGGCGGGTATGACCGAAGACTAAAGGTGTTTGGAAGCCTCTGGAAGGACTGCTGAAGGGTGCAGGGACACAATGCTGGACAATTATGAGAATGTGGTCACTCGGGGTAAGGACCCAGACTCTTCATTCGCTAATCCTGTGTATGGTCAACGGGAAAACCATCGTCATAAAATTTCTTACCACCTTCTTCTCAATTCTCCTAAAGCAAGGACAGGCTCTTGGGCCACAAGAAACTGATTATGCTGATTGTGGAAAGGCTGAAGAGCCCTCTCTGCCGTGAACTTCAAGTTCAAAGTTTGCTGTTATCGTGTGATAACCTTCTAGCAATGTTCTCCTGTTTATATTATTTAAAAAAAAAATTTTTTTTTAACATTTATTTATTTTTGAGAGACAGAGAGGGACAGAATGCAAGCCGTGGAGGGTCAGAGAGAGACGGAGACACAGGATCTGGAGCAGGCTCCAGGCTCTGAGCTGTCAGCACACAGCCTGATGCGGGACTCGAACCCACAAACTGTGAGATCGTGACCTGAACCGAAGTCAGATGCTCAACTGACTGAGCCGCCCAGGTGCCCCTCCTGTTTATATTATTTTAAAAGTTACTGAGGGAGGGGCGCCTGGGTGGCTTAGTTGGTTAAGTGTCCAACTTCGGGTCAGGTCATGATCTCATGATTCATGGGTTCGAGCCCCACGTCGGGCTCTGTGCTGACAGCTCAGGGCCTGGGGCCTGCTTTGAATTCTGCGTCTCCCTCTTTCTCTGCTGATCCCCTGCTTGCACTCTGTCTCTCTCTCTCTCAAAATAAATAAACATAAAAAGTTTTTTAAAAACAAACAAAAAAAGCTATTGAAGGAAGGTATTAGTCCACTGCCCTTAAGCATTTCCATGTATCCTGTCTCCTGTTCAATTAATGAAGACCAGTTAATCAGGTTTCCCCGTATGAGCTAACAGTTTCATTTGTTCTGTTTGCCTGAAATCTAAAATTACTCCATATTTGCGTATATATCTTACTGATGTAAAATTCTTTTGACATGCCCTGGTTTTGGATGGTCTTCGTTGGCTTTTTAATTTTTTTTTAATTTTGAGAGAGGGAGAGAGAATCTCAGGCAGTCTCCATGCACAACACAGAGCCCAGTGTGGGGCTCGATCCCACTACTGTGAGTTCATGGCCTGAGCCGAAATCAAGAGTCAGACGCTTAACCTACTGAGCCACCCAGGCGCCCCTTGCTTGGCTTTTTAGTTGCCTTTTTCTGTTACTGCTTTGTACTATTATCGTGTTATCTTTTCTTCTATGTAGTTGTCTTCAAATATCAGATGGAAGAATGCAGAACTCTGGAGGGAAAGTCTTCCAGATGGAATATCAGTGAATCGAACTCTGTTTCTTTCTCCCTTTCCTAGGATCCTTCTTACACCTCTCCATGATGCCCCAGAAAGCTGGAAATGACTCCCCTGGTGTTTCCAGCACAAGTGAAATGGAAATGGAGATAAGTAACATGAGAGAAAAGTTTCTTACAAGTGTGACAAAGTTAGTAGAAAGCAAAAGTTATAACAGCAAAGTATTTTCCAAAGAAAAGTACTTTCAAACAATAAAGGAAGTCAAAGAAGCCAAGGAAAAGGGGAAGAAGTCATCACGTGACTACCGCCGCGCAGCAAAATATGACGTGATCTCCGTGCAAGGCACGGAGAAGCTAATAGAGGCCGCTCACAGGGAACGTGATCGAATACGGTATTACGTACATAAGGAAGAGTTGTTTGACATTCTTCACGACACACATCTCAATATTGGACACGGTGGGCGGACACGGATGCTCAAGGAGCTACAAGGAAAATATGGGAATGTCACCAAAGAAGTCATTGTCTTGTATCTGACACTCTGTAAACAGTGCCACCAGAAGAACCCAGTGCCCAAGAGAGGTCTTGCGCCCAAGCCCATGCCTTTTAAAGACATCGACTCCAGATGCCAAGTTGAAGTACTTGACATGCAGTCAAATGCCGATGGTGAGTTCAAGTTTATTTTGTATTACCAGGACCACTTGACCAAGTTTATCATCTTACGACCGTTAAGAGCTAAACAGGCCCACGAGGTGGTCAGTGTCCTGTTGGATATTTTCACAATTCTCGGTACCCCTGGCGTGTTAGAATCTGACAGCGGCGTAGAGTTCACAAACCAGGTTGTTAATGAGCTCAATGAGGTATGGCCGGAGCTGAAGATCGTCTGTGGTCAGCACCGCCCTGGCCAAGGCCAGGGCTCCCTGGAGCGAGCAAGCCGTGACGTCAAGAACATGATACGTGCCTGGATGCAGAGTCACCGCTCACGCCGCTGGGCCGAAGGCCTGCGATTTGTGCAGCTGACGAGGAATCAGGTGTTCGACGTTTCCTTGCAGCAAAGTCCGTACGAAGCGATGTTTGGCTGTAAGGCCAAACTCGGCCTGTACTCCTCACACTTACCCCGCGAAACCGTGGCCGTCTTACAGACAGAGGAAGAGCTGGAAATTGCGGAAGAACAGCTAGAAAGCAGCCTTTGGATCAGGCAGGAAGAAAGGACTGAGATGGGAGCAGACAGATCGGATATGGATGAGGACATCGATCCCACGCCTCCGGAACCTACAGAGCCCAGCACCTCACAGGGGGCCCCAGGCCTCTTCTGCTGGTGAACGGGCGCCTGCTGGGTGCTGTCCAGCCATCTGAGAACTGTCACCAAATTCCCCGGGGAAAGGAACATGAAGGCTGCGCTCTCCACAGTCCCTCATGTTGTCCACGGCAGTGCTTGCAACGAGGGGAAGAGCGGGCCGGGTCCGTAACAAATGACCACAAACTTAGCGGCTTAACAGGAATATACACTGTGGCAACTCTGGAGGCCAGAAGTTCAAGATCAAGGTGTCGGCAGGGCTTGTTGCTTTTCGAAGCTTGGAGAGAATCCGTCCCGTGCCTTTCTCCTCTCCCTGGTGGCCACTGGCAGCCCTCTGTGTTCCTTGGCTTCCTCGAGTCTCTGCCTCATCTTCACGTGGAGCTCCGCCTGGCCTTTCCCCCTCTGTCTCTCTGTGATCTCCTTTTCTGTCTCTTAAAAGGACACCGTGGCATACCAACCCCATGCCGTTGGATTTCAGGTCCTCCCCTATCAGGGATGATCTCCTCTCGACATCCTCACCTTAATTGTATCTGCAAAGACCCCTTGTCCAAGTGGGGTCCAATTCACGGGTGTTGGGGATTTGGACTTGGACATACCTTTCTTGGGACACAGTTCTACCAACAGCAGCCAGTAGGAGAGTATTTCTGCCTGCAGAACCTGAACCGATGGGGTCTTAAGTGTGGTGCCCCACGTACATCTAGTACGTATTCCTTCTGCCAAGCCCCCCTCCTCAGACAACATCCCGAAAGGTGGGGGCATCGGAGGAAAAGGTGTAGTGAGAAAAGAGGAGAGCGGCCACGTCGGCATCTGAGCTCTATTTCCTGCTTCAAGAAGAACTGTGTGTGCCACCCCTGCTGTCACAATGGCATGCGCAGGCTACTGTGACCTGCCTGAAACCTATTTTAAGAGGTCAGAATTAAGGCATGGCTGGGATTTGGGTCTGAATCTGCCAGTGGTCTATGCCTCAAGAATAGAAAAGCGTGTCTGTCTGGAGCAGGTCAGTGCGTTCTAGGAAGTGACCAGTAGCCAGGGAAGCAACCGGAGACGGGAGCAAAGTGCAGACGTTGGCCGGAGGTCACGGCTCCACCCAGAAAATGGGAGCAAAGGCCAGTCTGGGTCACGGTTCAGAATAGGAATCGCCAGCCTGGCAGAAGAGAATGAAGATCCCCTGGATCTGTGTTCTGCTGTATTCCCGAGGCCCAGACGAATCCCTAGCCCATCAGAGGTGTTCGGTAAGGATGTGTTGTGGGAACAGGAGATTCTGCAGAGACGGGTACCGGGAAGGAGGGGCCAGAAGTCGTCATTTTCCCGGGCACCCTTCCTGCATGGCCTGGAGCCATCCGAACGAAGCCCATTCTGCTCACCCCCTAGTGCCATGTTCCTCCGTGAGGGGCGGCACCAACCGCCGCCTGCAGGAGGGGAGACACTGGGTGCTTGTGAGAGCCCGTGAGACAATGTGCGTGAAGGGGCTTTCTCTGAACACCGAAGTGGGAGTTGTCCCTGGGGGAGTTGTCCCCCAGCAGATCCCACCCCTCACGTGAAAGCCGGAGACCTCCCCCGTTCCTTTGCTGGTTAAACATTGCCGCGATGGGTATCCAGGGAGGCCACGTTATCCCTAGAAAGGAGGTGATACCATTTTGCAGCTTGTTTGGTGGAAGGGGGATCTTGCTCTGTCTTTGGCCAGGACCTCACTCTCCGTTGCCCCTTTGTCACTCGGCCTGTCCGGGGCGTCTGGGAGGCCGAGCTTTCTAATGTTACCGCCCCTCCCCCATACTGACCGACTACCTCCTAGTTGCCCGCAAGCCAGGAGCCACATGGTCAACTCGTGTGGGTGAGAGGTGAGGTGAGCCACGGCATCGCTGTCTTCCTGGGGTGGCGGGGAGGGCGCCCCAGAATACGTGCACGTGCATTTCCGGCCCATTGCTAAAGACTGGCCCGTGAAGTCAGAAGATGAATCCAGGCCGGAAACCGACCTCTGTGTCTTTAAGAATTTGTGATGGGGCACCTGGGTGGCTCCATTGGTTGAGCCTCTGACTTTGGCTCAGGTCGTGATCTCACGGTTCAGCGCAGTTCGTGGGTTCAAGCCAGCGTCACACTGGCTCTCTCTCAAAAATAAATGAACGTTGAAAAAAAAATTTAACATGCAAAAAAAAAAAAGGAAAAAAAGAATTTGTGATAAAAGCGACATTCCACATCTGTGGGGAGGAGTTCTATCCAGTTAATGGTGCTGGATCAATTAGCTATCCATCAGGGAAATGTGAAGCCTGATTCTTCAGCAAAACACAAAACTATAAAAATATGGGGGAGGGGAAAATGGAGGGTTTTTGTGATTTTGGGATGGAGAAAGCCTTTGCGAGCAACGCATGAACTTCAAACGCCACAAAAGAAAGTTAACCTACTTGCCCTAATGAACAGTTCAAATGGCTACGGAAAATAATGCCATTTGAAACATGAAAAGATAAATGACATCGGGAGAAAAAATTTGCAACACTTAAAACACGTAAGGCATTAATTTTTAAAAGCGTACTTAGAAATTATTAGTGAAAAGAGCAGCCAATAGAAAGCGAGCAAAAGCTAACCACGGAAGAAAAATCAGCGGTTAGTTCTGCTTAATGCCGTGCCTGCGTGTGGCTGTGGTGTGATGGGAGACCCCGTGGCTTGGAATCAGATCCGGGCTGTCAGCTTAATGTTTATTTTGAGAGAGAAAGTGCCACGGGGGACAGGCAGAGAGAATCTCAGGCAGGGGGATTCGATCTGGGGTTCGATCCCACAACCGTGAGATCACGACCTGAGCCGAAATCAAGAGTCAGACGCTCAACCGACTGAGCCACCCAGGCGCCCCTGGCTGTCTGTTTAGATGCAACAGACTCCAGTTATTTGAGGGTTTTTACTTTTTCCATTGTGCGCACGGGAGAAGGGAGAAGTGCCTGGTGCTTCTATATTTAACAAACCTGACTGGTAAGGAGATATAGTAATTGCTCCATTATTTTCAAGGCAGCTGTATTCGTTTCCTGGGGCTGCCCTAACAAACGGGGGCAGGGGGGTGCTTCAACAACAGAAATGTATCGTGTCACAGTTCTGGAAGCCAGAAGTCCCAAGATCGAGGTGCCAGCAGGTTCGGTTCCTTCCCAGGGCCGTGAGGGAGACTTCGCGTCTCTCCTAGCTTCTGGTAGACTCGGGTGTTCCTTGACTTGCAGATGACATTCTCTCTGTGCCTTCGCATTTGTATGTGTCTGTCTCCCACCGTGTCTAAGAGCCCCCGTCCTACGAGGACCCTGTTGTGTAGGATGAGGGCCCACCCTAGTGATGTCCTTTTAACTCCATCTTCTGCCTCCTTATTTGGAAATAAGGTCACATTCAAAAGTACTGGGAGGTATGACTGCAGCCTTTTTGGGAGGGGTGAGGGGGACAGAGTTCAGCCTGTAGCAGCAACCAATCAGAAGGACTGTCGATTTCAGAGGTAATTTTTAGGAGATGTAGCAACAATTTCTTAAGTCTCGGAAGGCTTACAAAGTCCCTGTGTTCAAATAACACTTGCAAGAGCAGATTATTTTAGCAGAAAACAGAAAAAAGTTGACAACCAGTTACCAACGTTCACGCAAGTCTTGGTTTTGCACAGGAGAAGCCGATGGAGATTCTTAGGGAAGATACCTTGTCCAACTGGATTATTTGGCTCAGTTTTATGATGCAACACGGCACCTACCTCCACACCTAGTGGAGGGAGGGAATGTTGCCGTATCTTTCAGAGACTCTTCGTTACTTACGAAGACTTGCATTTTTCAGGCTCGTCTCTAGAATTCTGTTAAGAGGCCTGTGAAATTCCATTTTACTAGAAAATACAATGGAGAGTGGGCTAAAAACAATTTCACTTAACAGCCTCTTGAACTCCAAGCTTAGCTGTGAAACGGAGCAGGTAATAATCCCAATCCCAGGTGCTCACTGCCCCTGGTACCACCATGGCGAGCACTAAGTCCCATATAGAATTGCTGAATCAGTATGTCATACACCTGAAACAAGTGTCACATTGTAAGTTGATGATGCTTCAATTAAAAAAAGTATTTGTAGGGGCGCCTGGGTGGCGCAGTCGGTTAAGCGTC